TATATATAGGTATGTGTGTATGTATGAATATATGTACACCCATATATATATATATATATCAAGTGTGTATATATGTATGTGTGTATGTATGTATGTATGTATGTACGTATATACATATATATTCAAATATATATATATATATGTGTGTGTGTGTGTGCGTATGCATGTATGTATAAATATATGTATACGTATGTATGTATATATATATATACATTGTACATATATATATATATATATATATTATATATATATATATATATATATGTGTGTGTGTGTGTGTGTGTTTGTGTGTGTATATATGTGTTTGTGATTGTGTATGTGTGTTTGTTTGTGATTGTGGTTGTGGTTGTGTGTGGGTATTTATGTATTCATATGATTTAGTATCTGTTTATATATAATTATGTAAATGTTTGCGTGTTTGTTCGCGTGTGTGTATGATGTTTGTGTGTCTGCGTTTATTTTTGTTTTATGTCTTTGTTTTTTTTTCTGTAATTATATTTACATGTATGTCTTTCATTTCTTCGATGTGTTACCGTACCCGCGTGTACGGATGCATACATGTATGTATGCATGTATGTATGATTATATTATTGTATATTTATGTATTCGTCTCTGCGTTGTGTTTTAGTATGCGCAAAGGTTACAGAGCAATTAGTATATCGAGGCTATGTAGGTTTGCCTATTTCGCTGATTCTAATCTTTGGCTGGCTATTCGCTGCAGTGAGAATGAGAAGAAACCAGTGGTTGAGGTAGAGTCTAAGAAGTCGAAATGAGGATTCTCATCTATATAATGTACGGTACAAATATCTGAGAGATGAAAAGCTAATTCGGTCCGTCATAACAACAAGATCTGTGGACTTCAGCGATCAATGAAAACCACCCGGATATGGGAAGAATATTCGCCAAGCCAAAGCCCTAGATTTGAGTGGCGATTTTTGGATACATGTGCAGTGATTAAATTAGTGTATATATACTGCCAGGCTACGTGCGATCTGATCACATTTCTGGACAGCTAAAACGCATACATTAGTGCTTTCTGTATAAATCCTTACATGTGTGGGAATTAGAGATGTAACCACTTTCCATCTCATTTCGCTGTCGTAAATGTTAGTATGTATCGCGATGAGGAAATGTGGAGTGTCATGTTAGTCTTTTATCTGCATTCCTCTTGCAAGTTTGATGATGGACTACCAGATGCCACTTGCCCATTGATTTCCTCGTCAGCAAATTATTTAAATCGAATTCAGTATGAAATCATACGCACATATGGTTCTCCGAGACTTTGTTTTGTCCTTTAAGTTGGTTCATTTTCTCGGCCCTTCAGGGTGTAATTCTGTATCGCATCTGCCATCCTACGACAAATCTGCACCGGAGATATATATATATATATTTAAATAATTGCCGTTGCTGCCGATATTTTTATTTTCAAATTTAAATTCTGTATTGCACTGGCCCAATGATCAAGCTATTATGTCGAGTTTTATTCACTTCACCGTCATAAGCACTATTTTGCATCCAAATTTTTCTATATTATTGAATGTTGTTAAGCTTTAGTGCATCAAACGTACTATTCAGCATCGCTTTCGCCGACATTTACATATATCAGATTTCAGGATGTCTTTTCGTCGCTTGTCGTACGTGACGACGTTCGTGTCTTCATTCATATAATTATGCATCCTTTTTGCCATCATATGCACACATATCTGCCTCCGAGACCGTTGTTTGTCGTTTGCCGTATACAAGGGCTTCCCTCTCGTCATCAGTGCAATTCTGCATCGGTTTCGAAATCATATGCACCTATCTGATTCCGTGACCCGCACTCCTCATTTGCAGTATATACAACGTCTTCGAATCCTCAGACATGCAATTCTGCATCGCGCTGTCCTACTGATTGAAGCCCTTGTGTCAGAGCTTGGTCATGGACGGCCAGTTGCAACTCGATTACAGTGTTGTGGAAGTGGCGGGCAAAATAGGTGAACAGCACCTGGTAGAAAATAGATAACAAAACAACTGAGAACAAGGCTGATGCTCATTCATAAAGGGCGCAAACGCAGCCCAATACTACGCTGTATCATCCGGTACCGATATGTTATTAGAGTTCTATTGATAAATTCAATACGGATATCATTGTATCCAACCCCATGTGTATGTTCGATCGCATGTACAGTTACTGAAACCTATACGCATAAAATTTTGTACGATTCTGTATCCGTATCCCAGACAAAAGTTCTTTCGATTCACAATCAATGGGTGGAAACTGGTACTTCCTCGTGGGGCCTTCCGTAACAAATCAATCGCAACATTCTAAATTTTAGATTCATAGATCTGTCTCGTCGTGACATAACTCTCTGCAACAGTTGTTTACAATCAGACAATACAGAAATACACAGACGTCCCTTTGATGCAAGCAACATGCCCCCCTGAGTATACGAGTAGAGCAAGCTGCGACTACGGTACAGTGCAGTAGGGCGGCCAGTCACTCCACAACTACAAGTGACTTCTGGACACCCAGGGTTTGTGCATACACAATCCGTAGCATTCAGACTAGGACAATAAAAAATACACATGCATATACCTACATTCGTCTCTCATTGAACGATGGCAAATTACATATCATGCCCTCGAGCGGTCTGAGATCAATTTGTTTGACATACCAGTAAAGGCGTTACGATGATAGTAACGGCCCAAGCGGTGGCGGGTGAGATAGTGATAAATCGCATCCACCTGTGATGTAATCGTGGAAATGAACCCTGATGAGAAAGGAAAAGCAGTCACAATAGTACGGAAAAATATTTACAAAAATATGCCAAATTCCCGCGATGCGAAGTACCCTCGTTTGCAGTAAGTGACGGCAGCTATATTTAATATAATACGAAAGGTTAAAATCTCCAAGGCCCGGGATTGCTCGATATTTTATCGTAGGTGATCCAACATACTGCCAGAGATGAATTTATCTCCGATTTCTTGATAAATAATCCTAACCATTTTATTTCGGCAGGAAAGGGTGAATAGACTGTTTAAAAATGCGCATACTAAGCGCTTCAGCACTTTAAGTTTCGGCGGCTACTACCAAAATTACAAATCTCTGTCCAAACTAGGTAGAAAACAAACTAATTGCGAATTCACTGGCCAATTGGATCCAGTATATTAAATTAGCCACCTTCGCAACAATTAAAGTAGCGATGATCACCATAGTACTCGCCATAACAAACACACCTACAGTTCTAAAAAGTACTTACGCAACAACGATAACCTCCGCTAAAAAAAGCACTATTCCCACACCCGTGGAGAAGAACCAAGCAGTGATGATATAGTTGCGAAAGCGCTTATGGGGAGAGAGTTCGGGATCGGCAGCGCATTGAAGGTTGTTGCTACCGATTCTTTGCCGTCGCAAGTGATACTTGCTGTTATATAAAATACAGAAGTCACAGGTTAACGAATGT